CTGCAATCTACATCTCAGAAGGAGTATAAGGAATGCAGAGTTCCCGTGAGACTACCCTTTCTCTAACGAAGTGTCGGTCAATCTCAATATGCTTCGTCCTATCATGTTGCACTGGGTTATTTGCAATGTTGATGGCAGCCTTGTTGTCACAGTACAGCCTGAGAGGACACTCGACCTTTATCCCGAGCTCACCAAGAAGGGTCCTAAGCCGCAATAGTTCAGCAACACCATGAGCCATAGCTCGATATTCAGCCTCTGCACTTGATCTAGCAACTACATTCTGCTTTTTACTTCGCCATGTAACCAAGTTCCCTCCAACGAACGTGCAATACCCAGAAGTAAACTTCCTATCTCCAACAGAACCAGCCCAATCAACATCAGTATACGCTTCAATTTCAATTTTATTGTGTTTTTTGAACAGAATTCCTTTTCCTAGGCAAGTCTTCAAGTACCTAAGAATCCTTTCCACTGCTCTCATATGAGGAATCTTTGGAGAGTGCATAGCTGACAACATGTAGACCTACCAGTTTTTGGTATCTCTCTTTATCAAGGTAGTCCTCTCCTACTGATTTCCTGTAGACCATGGTTCTGTTCTATTGGAGTATCTGCTGGTCTACTCCCCATCATACCTGTCTCCTCTAGAATATCAAGGACATACTTCCGTTGACATATATAGATGCCCTCTTGTGACCTAACAACTTCAATTCCAAGGAAGTATCTCAGATGGCCCAAGTCTTTGATCTCAAACTCAAAAGCCAAGAACTCCTTCAATCTTTTTATCTCTTCTAGATCATTCCCTATAATCACCATATCATCCACATAGACGATGAGTGTCGTAAGTCTGCTATCCTGTTTCCTTATGAACAAGGTATGATCTGCACCACTTTGAGTGTATCCCACTCTCTTCATGACCCCACAAAGCTTCTCAAACCAAGCCCGAGGAGACTGCTTAAGACCATATAATGCTTTCCTCAATTTATACACTTTTCCATCAAAGCCATAACCTGGTGGAGGATCCATGAATAACTCTTCATGTAGATCGCCATTTAGGAAAGCGTTCTTCACATCCAACTGATGTAGCTCCCATGAGAAGTTTGCAACTAATGACAATAGAACCCGGATTGTGTTGAGCTTTGCGACTGGAGCAAAGGTCTCTTTGTAGTCAATCCCTTCCTTTTGATTAAACCCCTTTGCCACAAGTCTGGCCTTGTATCTTTCAATGGACCCGTCCTCCCTATGCTTTACAGTGAACACCCACTTGCATCCCAAAGTGCTCTTCCATTCTGGTAGATCCACTAATTCCCAAGTCCTTGCTTTCATTAAGGCTTTCATTTCTTCGTTCATAGCCTCTCTCCATCTTGGATCAGACACTGCCTCTGAGTACCTAGTARGGACATGYACGGAAGAGAGAGCAGACACAAAGGAATAATAACGAGGAGATAAACGTGAGTAAGAAACAAATTCAGCAATGGGGTGTCGGATAGTACAAGAACGGRTAAACTTACGAAGAGCAATAGGGAGATCCAAATCAGAAGTGTGAGTGATAAGATCACCTGGAGTTGCTGAGATAGATTGATCCGAGTCCGATTGGTTGCTACCATGAGTTAGAGGGTCTTTTTTCCTTCTGTTGTAGGTGATTCTTATATCTTTTTGTTGCCTACTAGTGTCCTCAGTTACATCAGCAGCATAAAGAGTGGTAACAGGTTCAATGAGCCTCACTAGATTCACCTGGGATGCTACAACTAGGAGGATCAGGAGGAGAAGATGGAAGGCCTGAGGTAGAAAGAGAAACAAAAAAGGAGGGGGAAGAAGAATCCTCTTCCATCCCACTAGTCTCCCCCTAAAGAGGATTATGGGAAGAATGAAAATAGGATTGAGACTAAAAAAATACCACATCTTTTGTGACGTATTTCTTCTTGGTAATGGGATCATAACACTTGTAACCCTTCTGTGTAGGAGAGTACCCTAGAAAGATTCCTTTCGTAGCCCTAGGATCCAACTTGGTCTTCTTTGGATCCTTTACATGAATAAAACATACACAACCAAAGACTCTACGTGGAAGAGGAAAGTCTGGAAGATTAGGACAAAGGACAGAGAAAGGAATTTTCATACCCAACAACTTGGATGGCATCCGATTTATCAGATATGATGCGGTAAGGACTGCTTGAGACCATTAGTGCTTGGAAACCTTGTGCTGAAATAGTAAAGCTCGAGCAGTCTCCAATAAGTGTTTATTTTTGCGCTCAACATCCCCATTCTATTGAGGGGTACTAGCACAAGATGACTGGTGTAGCATGCTTGCATGCTCCATGACCAGGTTCAAGGATCTTTCAAAATATTCAGCAACATTGTCTGAACGGAATTGCTTTATCTTCTTGTCAAATTGAGTTTCAATCATTGTCTAAACAAAATGCCATGGTTATCCGTGGCACTTCATCACATCCTTTTAACAAGTAGATCCATGTGCATCGTGAATAGTGATCAATAAAACTGATAAAGTAATGAAAGCCATCTACAGAAACAAGAGATGAAGGGCCCCAAACATCAGA